TGAAAGTAGAAAGGTACTACAGTGGTAGATAACACTTCCACTTATTTATTTTATTATGCCTCATTACTACTATAATGGTATGTAATAGGATCAGGGTTCTTTTCTTCATTTGCCCCCCATTTCTTGATCATTTCTTGTGTCAAAACCCCTTTATCAACAAGCATCTCAATTTCTTTTAACAGTGGCCTACAATTGCCTGTAGAATTCCCCTTTACCCCAAAGTGAAAATTACAAACACTATCTTGATCATAGCTATGAGCAGAAGGGTTTGATATCACTTTAGTTGGTCTTGGTGTGATGTATTGACCTTTAACCAAATGAGGATACAAGTCTGAAATGGAAGTTTGGAATACTTCTAAAGTTTTTCTTGATCGCATGACTTTCTTTGGTCGATCCGAATAGTTACTTGCTCTTTTTCTTTTGTAATTACGAGGACTCTGGATGCAACATTCATTCACATGATCAGCTTTTGCTTTTTGATCCGTCAGGCTCCTGGATGTGACTTTTGAATTTTCTTCACTGATTACATTCTCAATTAAATCTCCACTTGTCATGAGATTCTTGAATTCCTTCGTCGGATTTGCCTGCATTAACTTGCAGAAAGGAGCGGGAATGGAATCCCGAAACATATGTGATATCTCCTCTTCTAACATGGGAGGTTGAACTTGTGCTGCCACTCCTCTCCATCTTAAGGCATATTCTTGAAATTTTTCATTGGTTTTCTTCTTTACTCTTCGAAGATCCATACGTGGAGCTAAGCCTTTAACATACCGATATTGTTCCAAAAATGCATCAGCTAAATCACCCATTTCTTGATCTGTTTCTTGTCAACTGATTGTACCAAACTACTGCTGGGCCAATAAGACTATCATGGAAAGAGTGAATTAATAGATCATCAGAACTCAAATATCCTTCCATTTTTCTGTAAAACATTCTCAAATGGATTAAGGGACAACTGGTGCCATCATATTTCTCAAAATCAGGCATTTTGAATTCATGGGGAATAATCAAATCTGGAACCAAGCTAAGCTTTCTTGCTTCTAATTCTTTGTGGGAAGTATCAACACATTTCATATTTTGATTGCTTCATCCATCTTCTTGAATCTTTCCTCATATTGCGAATAATGAACAAGGCTATTCTTTGGGTTCATTGGGATGCCCCAGAGGGTTTTACCATTTTTGACTCTTTAATCTGACAGCATGGTTGCTCTTTATCAATTATCTCTTCTTTATCAGATGTCACGTACTGAATAATTTGATTTGATCCATCTGGTATTGAATCTGATGTTTTTTTCCTTATATCCGGAGGTAACCCTGTCAATTGTTCTGGCCACTGGTCTTGTAGTCCCTTATAAGATTGCTCCATTGTTTTCATGATAATAGTAAAGTAATATGAATGAATGGTCTTGGTTTTTACTGTTACAGAACCTTTCAAGAATTATTTACATGTTTTTTATAATTAAAGTACATAACAGTACTTAAATAAAAATGTGAAAAATGCATAAATGGAAAAATAAGAATGCAAAATGTGCAATTCAAAGATATAAAAAGTAAAAATACAAAATGAAAATGCACATATACAAAATGTAAATGCATGTATGAAAAGGTGTTACTCAAGAGTGATCATCTTAGAACAGATTTCATTGAACACAAAAGCTTCAGTACATCAAACAAAACTTTTATATGTAGGGGACAACTTTCAGTCTTAACTTCAATAAAACTTTATATATAGGGAATAACTTTCCCATTTTCTTCTCTAAAACCAAGTTAGTTTATCAGCTTATGGGCTATATTGCTTGTCTGGACTGCAGCTTCTTCCATGACATTCTGGTGTTCTTTCATCTCCTATGTCAATTCTCGGAGTTGCTCATTTTCCCTTGTGAGAGAACATTTGTGTTCAAAAAGTTTTTGGACAAGATCTTCATATATGTTGCAACTCTTTTCATTTGGTGACCCCTGCTATCCACTCTTCTGGGGTGTTTCCTATACCAGCATTTTGAAAGGCTTGACTGACCTTCTGGAAATCTTCATGTATGGTTTCCATTTTGGTGCTCAATTTATCGTTTCCAATCTTCAAATGACGTATTTGAGCTTCAAACCTCAGCAAATCTTTTTCTCTCTGGGCGCCCCTACTGATATTCTTACCTTTGAAGACTTTTGGTATTAATATATCAGGACCCTCGGTTACCAAACTAGGTCGATCATTTACCATAAATTGCAAGGTTCCATGATCCAAAAGACTTTGGACTCGACGTTTGAAGGCAAGACAATTCTCGATGGTATGTCCTTGAGCTCTGGCATGATATTCACAATGAACGTTGATGTCATACCAATTTGGATACGGAGGTTGGAATGGTTTTATGTAATATGGAGCCACTTCTCGTGCTTCAAGTAACTTCTCATACAACTCTTTATATGATATAGGGATAGCATCAAAATGAGAACCACCTTTTGTTTTGGATTAAACCTGAGTTTTAGACGTTGGGAGCATACCAAACTTTGATGATTTCTGATTACATGATTTCTTCTCATCTCTGAGAGCTTTTACAGTGGTCAACATTTCTTTGGTATCTCCAGACGATTTGTGAATACAAATGATGATTGTCTGCAACTTCTCAAATTGGTTAGGATCAAAAGGCCCTTTTATATATGAAATTGCAGGATTATCTTAATTAAGCTTTCTCTCTTTCTGTGCAGGAATCTCTTCTCTTTTGGCCAAAACAGATATTTTATCCATCATCTTGGACATCTGCTCTCTTATTTCTCGTATCTCCTTTTGCTCTTCAATGGGCATACGATCTTTGGGTGCATAGCTCTTCTCTATCTTCAGAGTTCCCTCAGGATGTCTTTTCTTGGCCGCATCATATTTTGTTTGATCATAGAACTTTTTGTCCATTTACGATTTCTTTCCAATATGATGAACAATCTTTTCAGTCAACACCTTTTGATTATGCCATGATCATGCAATGCAAACAAAAGAAATAAATATGAACATATTAGAGCAATGTAACATGCATGAAAAAATAAAAAAAATAGAATAGTTAGTACCAACTAATGGAAAAAATCTATTTATCAGGTAATCTTAACCTCATGCTTTCTGTTCCATGCTTTGTTTGGAAAATTTAACCTAACCGCATGATTTCTAGTTCGCATGCATTTCCGGAAAAAGAAAAGGAAATAAAATAAATTAAAAGCTAGAGCTTATTTCTCCTTTGTGTATACCTACTGACAAAATGGTCTCAGATTGGGAGAGTTTCTAGGGTTTATTATATGCAGGTTTTCAGTTCTAGGAGTAAAAGTACTCGAACTGTCTTTGTTGATGCCCCCTTGGGCTGTCAACCCTCAATCCTAGTCCATTACAGACTTAAACGGATCGAGTTCAATTCGAGGGGACACATTTCTCTATACCTGACATGGAGAATAAATTCTCACGAAGACATAGAGCATTGAACCCGAAAGTTCTTGCTAGGTCTGACACGGAGAATAAATTCTCACAAAGACGTCGCTTTCACTCCCACTTAAAAGGGACAAACTCAATTATAGAGCTTTATGTTATGCAATGCAAGTGTTGTGTGTGAGGAGAAATGTTCAAACCTCTAACAGATAAAAATAATTAATACCTGAATAAAAAACAATATTAATATAAAAATAATAAATAATAAAAATTTGAAAGAAAAGAATTAAAAATTAAATAAATGAATTTTTAATTTCTAATTAATAGAGATAATTTATAATTGATTTTAAAGTTTGACGATCCCCAGCGGAGTCGCCAAGCTGTCGTAACCGATTTTCGTCCGGGCACGAATTTTTTTTTACTTGGTGGGAAAATTGATGTGAATAAATGGTTTTTAAAATAATTTGGGAGTCGCCATCGGCCTTTTGGGTCAGGTAGGTCAAATACCTAAAAATTATCTTTTAAAAGAGTTTTTAAGAAAACATCAGTTAAAAGATGAACTGATCTGCGTTTATAACCAAAAATTCTTTCTTTTTAATAATAAAAAGGGATTCGTGGTCGGTTACGTTTAGGGAAGGATTAGCACCCCTACAACGCCCAAAATTGGTACTTTTTAATTATACATTGTCTCTATTATTAGAAATTTAAGAATTCAAATATATTTAATTCATAATTATGTTATTCAATAATTTTAAGAAAATATATTAATATGTATAAATAGATATTTATTTATTAGAAATATCAGAAAAGAGCTTCTAGGTGCTTTAAGACAGCTCTTTTCTCAATATTAAAAAATAAATAAATACCTAAATCATTTTCTTAATAAAATAAAATTAAACATATATAGTTCATAAATAGGATTTTTATTTTATAGAAAACAAAAAAAATAAATAATATTTTATTATATATTTATATGACTAAGATAATAATAAATAATAATTAAGTAATCATTTAAACATATTGGATTTGAAATGATAATAATACAAATTAAATTGTAATTAAATAGGGACTAAAACTATTAAATAAATAAAAATATTAAAAAATAAAATTTACAGCCCTTATTTATAGTATTATAAAAATATAATTACTAATGATGTAATTAACCCTAATTATTAATAGGTGATTAAAATAATGATCATTAAAATAAAGGTTCTAAATTGAATGATAAAAAGATTAGTAATAATATAATTTAGCCTTATTAATTAATTCAGGTTAAATGATATTTACTAAACTGTAAAGGACTAAATTAGGTATTTACCTAAATAAATATATATGCAGATAAGGACTAAAATAAAATAAAATAAAATGTAAAGACTAATTTTAAATAATTAGAAGTTGATGTAGTGACTAATTTGTAAATAATACAAACTCGAAGTGACCGCGTTTTCCCGTGAAGGAAATTACGCACATACCCTCATCAAAACGGTGTCGTTTTGATTAGGTATATAAACCCTAAACCGGCCCCTAAGGGCCAAAGCTTCTCATTTGTCTCTTTCCTTTCTTTCTCTAAAATGAGAGAACCAGAGTTCTTCTGGCTTCTCTCTAGTTTCCCTCGCCGGAGGGAACCGGCAGCCTATGCCACCGTACTCGGTGCCGATCACCGCCGCCGGCCACCGTTCACGGTGGCCGGAATTTACAAATACTAAGCGTAGATCTAAACGTCCTAAGGTCCGATCTAAGGTTATTTTAACCTAAAACCCCATAATATATCGTAAATTTACGATTATCACCTTCGCGTTTTGATTTTCCGGCGACGTTTAGGGCTCTCCGATGATAGAGTAATTCCTCTCTTCTCTTCTCTTTATTTTTTTTACTGGTTTGTTGTTGTTGATTGGGATCGTTAGCTTTCTGTTTTCCTCGGTTTCTTCCTCTCTATTTGGTTTCTGGTCTCCGTTGCTTGCTGTTCGTGCTTTCTCCTTTTTTTGCTCTCTGTCCCTCTTTTTTGTTTTGCAGGATCCGGTGGCTTTATAGCCACCACCGAGCCATGCTCGGACCGGTCTAGAGGGGGAAGTTCGGTGAGTCACCGAGCTACGTGGTGACTCACCCCATAGCCATGACATGTGGGGACAGCTGGCCTTCTGGAGACTTCTGGGCAGGGCAGCGCAGCTGAACGTCTGGAAGCAACGCTGCCACGTGGTTGTTCTGGAATCTTGGAGGCGGTTGGGGATCACTAGAAGTAGTGGCTGGGAGCTAGGGTTTGAAAACCCTAGCTGAAACCCCAAATGTTTAGGGTTTCTGGTTGGTCTGGGCCGGTTCTGTTTTGTTTGTAACTGGGCCGGTCCAGTTTTGTTTGTAACTGTTTGTAAATAATAATTATAATATAATAATAATATTTAATAATAATAATAATTTTAATAATAATAATAAAAACAAAAAATGGAAAAAAAATTAGTGTTTACAGCAACCATTATTTTCATGCCGTTTGCATCGACGAGTGGTTGGTATTGAATGTTGCATGCTCGTTATGTCGTAGTTCCCCGGAGAAGCATACTTCTAAAGTTGTATCATCTTCATCATCATAAATCGATAATTGATTCAGAAATAAATTTGTGTAGTTTCATTCCGATTCTGTAAATTATATTAATTGTATAAAATTTTAAAATATATTTTTCATATTTTATTTATAATTTTAAATAATCTTATAATTATTTTTTATATAAAATAATTTCGGTTATCCATCTACTTGACTACTTTAGTAGAATATCATGAAAGTACAATAAATGACAACCAATGATTGGGCTAAATAGACCCAAATTTGTGGGCGGCCCATTCTATATACCTTAAGAGGACGGGTTTACCGGCGGAAGGGGATTCTTACATTGAAGGAGGGCAGACGGCGTTTGTGTTCGAGGAAGCAAAAAAGGGAAGCTAAAACCCTGATTCGAAGCGCGACTGAATCGAATCACCTCTGTTTCGAACAAAAGACATTGAAACGGTGAGTTTTCGCGTCTTTCTAGTATTGTTTAAGTTCTTTTATTCTGTTTTAATCTTAAAATTCCCAGATTTCGGCATCAGCAATCTCATTGCAGTGGTTTTGTTTGTTTGATTGGAATGATTTTTATTTTCTAATGTATTTATCTTGATCTGGACATGCTTTCAAACCTTTTCTTTGGCTTTTCTTTTCTTTTTTTCTTTTTCATTTGATTAGAGGAATTTTTATTCATCGTATCAATGGCGTTTCGCCGTAGCCTTTCCAGTAGAACAAACCTAATAGCTAGACGATATCAACCATCGTTTGCCTACATTTTCCATGACGATGACCGTAAGACTCATCCTTCAAGCGAGTACCGATTGCAACCAAACCCTGTTAATTTGGGTCAGCAAAGATCTTTTGGAACTGGTTTAGTAATCCATCCTCGGGGTTGCTATGTTGTTCCAAGATAGAAGATGTTCCCAACAAGCCTTCTTCCTAGCACTGGTATCTCTTTTGGTCGGTATGTCGACTATTGCTAGTGATGGGGCAAAAGAGGTTGAGCTTATGACTGATGTGGCGGAAGCATTTAAGGATACCGCCATTGAAGCTGTGGACTCAGTTCCTGCTGTGAATGAGGTTGCTATTGCTGCTGCTGATTGTTGGTTACCGGTTGCTACGTTGCAGTATGTTATTAATGCTGTTCATCTTTTACAGGATTCAACTGGTAAGTTTTTGCATTTACTTGAACAGCATGTGCAATGTTAATGTCTTCATTCATTTTGTTGAACTACCAAATCACGAATGTAAGGATTCAATTAATTGTTTCAAAACCAATTCTTTAGACTCTCTACCCAGCCAACTTTCAGACGATGAAAAGGTGACGACAAACTACCAGGGTAATTATTAGGATTCCTGTCTGCGGAACACGGTTAAACTTGCATGCTTTTCATTCCATTAGATTAACTCTTTTAAGTTTCTAGTCAAACCAATTAACTATTTAATCTTTTATGAGGTTGAATTAGTGATGAAAATGAATCCTGATGAATCTGCGCATGTGTCTTACGAAATATGTATCTTCTGACTTCTTGGTTTATGCTAATCTCAAAGTTTTGATTAATTGCAATGGAGATTAACCTTTAGTTTTTTAATAAATTTGTTTATAACTGATTTCAGGTGGGCTTCCATAGCAGTGACAACTCTTTTGATTCGTGGTTCAACTCTTCCACTTTTGATAAATCAGCTTAAAGCTACCACAAAAATGAGTGTGTGTAATTTGTTTACATCCTTGTGTTTATTTTATACTTCTGTGTGCTCTGTATACACTTCCTTTGTTTATTTATTTCACTAATTTTTATACACAAGGCATAATTTTATGATTTGTATGCAACTTTTAGGAATTAAAGCTTTATAATATGGATACATGGATAATTTGATGATGCGAATCTGACGATTCTAACAGTCATAAAAAAACAAAAAAAAATTGAGATACATCACCAGTGTTCTAGTTCTAGAAAATTTAGTGTACCTCCGCTTGTATTGTACATTTTGGTACCCAAAAGGAGAATATTCAAGTTTTTGTAGCTAAATGCCAAAAAAGAAACTATTACATTGCCATGGACAAAAGAAGCGTGTAGATCTTCCTCTAGATATTCTTTCTTCTCATGAGTGACTTAATTTTTACTGCTTAGAGACTGCTAATAGCTTGATTAACCAAAGTGATCTTATTTCATTTTAGTATTGGTCTCTGTATTTAGTAATTTGTGTTTATCTTGCAGCTAATGAGGCACGCATGGAGGAAATCAAGGACCGGATGGGAAGCCAGGTTTGGTGCCAACTTTAAACCGTAGTAGTGTCATTATTTAGAACCATCGATACTCTATGGATAGCATGCTGCTTTTTGCTGTGTGCATGATCGTGGAGAATGTTCAGATTGCATGGACAATTTTTATTTTATTTTATGATCTGTGAAGTTCTCAACAAATATTTTCTTATTTTTTTGCAGGGTAGTGATTCCTGTCAATGACTGATGGCCAAATGAAATGAAAAAGCTTTTCAAGGAGTAAGCCACTTTTCTATTAAGACAAGGTCCTATGCCTGTTGAGAGTAATTGTCGTAATAGATTGTATACCCTTTGGTTCCATGATTGAATCTTTTAATTGGCCTGTTTGTGATTCCGCTTCGAAATTTTGTTGAAGGAAAAAATGCTGGTGGCTTCACATTGATTGAAATGCGATTTTAATTTATCTATAATGCTGTTATCCTTCCCCATAACAAACAACTCCAGGCCCCCGGCTTAGTCTGAAGTCATGATAGGTTCTTAATGTTTAACATGTATCATGAAATATGTCTCGGGTGATACTAAATGGATTTATTCTGTAAATATGAAGTTAGAAACACACATATATTAAATGTGAGCTGTTTTAGATGATAGTTCATTTGGTGATATTCCATAGTTTTGGCTGATCAGAAATGTGCTTGATACTGGCATCCACTTAAATGACTTTTTAACTGGTTTTTCCTGACAATTTCATTGTTTGTGTTAAATAATTGCAGATATGGTGTGACTCCGTTTACACCACTGAAAGGCTTTTTATTCAGGGCCCATCTTCGTCAGCTTTTTCATGGCTGTAAGAAAAATGTTTTTGTAGTAACTCATTCTGGCTTAGTCTTAGATTGAATGGCACATTTAGAATTATATCTGATGTCCTGTCTTTTACTCCAGATTTCAACGATGGCTGAGAAAATGCCATCATTTAAATACGGTGGAGCATATTGGTTTACAGATCTCAGCACTCCAGATAGTTTATATCTTACCGGTTTTGACAGCACTGATTTTTTATTAACAGTGGAGGTAAGCATCCTATTTTGTAGTTATAGTTAACTTAGAGCATTGAGCAACACTTTGCATGCCTTTTGTTTGTTGAATCTGCATAACGCTATAAGTCCTCAGTGCAACATGCAAGAAGGCATGGAAGGGAATCCTGCTGCTAAAACTAGAAAATGTTTCTAGGGTCCTTGCTGCTCTTACAGTTCCGTTTACTATGAGTTTCCCAAAGTATTACCACTTCCTTTCCTGGCTTCTGCATGTTCTCGTATATGCTATCAGCTGTCAATGACATTAAGATTTTTCCTACTCGAATGGGTCTTGTGCCTTTATGTGATGGTTTACGTGTTAACAAGTTCATGTAGTAGTACATTTGCATTGCCTACCCTAACAAGCTGGTTTTGGAAAATAATGTCAAATATTTAACTACTGATTATAATTTTCATCTCATTTATTCGACAGGCATCTTTGTGTATTGGATCACATCAAATTTGTTTTCCCTTACATATGGCCTAGGTGAGTCGGTAAATTTCATGTTATCAATCAAATATTTGATCATGAATACCATGAGATACGATTGGCTTTTCCAATATATCCGAGTTGGTCTATATATCACTTCCTGAAAATTTTAATTTTGCAGTGCTCAAGGCTCCTGGAGTGAAGAAGGCTTTAGGTGTTCCTGAAATACCAAAGGAAGCAGCCATTACTAACAGCGGCCTCCCGTCGATCTGTACGGCTCTGAAGCAAACTCTCAAACAAGCCAAAACAGCTTCACAACAGTCTACCTCATTGCCTGTTCAGCCAACAAAAGCATCAAACCAATAACGTCTACTTCTTCGCCTTCGACCATCAATCAGAGGCTTAGAAATTTGGAGAAACAAGTTAAAGGAAGGAGAAAAACAAGAAGAGGTGAGAGATTGGTGTCATAGTTAAGGACTGTGAGAATGATTCTTATATTAGAAATTTGCTTCATGTATTATTGTTTTGTAGTCCGACAGTTTGAGAATTTTCTTTTCCCTGGAATCTGGGGATTTTTGTCTGTAGGGGTAACTGATGTATTCGCTGCGTTTTTGCTTTGCGTAGTGAAGAAAAATAAAAATGTGTAAAACCATGTTGGTTATGATATAGATATTAACTTTGGATATTTATCATATGAACGAGGGATTCAAATATGAATTTGATTTACTATTACGAATATTGAATTTAGATTTTTGAATTCTTATGTATATTTAACGAAATAAATTTGATTTACTAAATTATTTAGCCACAATAATTTATTTAACGTATAGTCTATAATAACGATGGGATTGGAGAGACTAATATCAAACATTGGAAGGGATTAATTATTTTACATCAAAGAATATATATTTATTATATTTAAATTTGAAAATTAAAAGGGACAGGAAATGAGGGACAAAATATTGTTCTGCAAACTG